GTCTTGTAAATATTAACGGGTTCGAGTTCGAGTTTGCTTCAAACCCGACCCGACCCGACCCTTACGGAGCACTACATCTGATATCCTAAAAAAAAAAAAGGTTACAAAATCATCTGATATTTATCGGGCATGAAACGGACATTGTTGTGTTTCCCAAAAAGTCGATTGTTTTATTTCCATTTATGTTCTGTACTTCCCATTATAGCATGATCCCTATTGAATATTTTTCGATAGTATTTATGGGTACCGTCCATTGATCAGAAATATGGATCCTTGCAATAGAAATATAATCAATGAAATGAGTTAATCTACAAAATGCCAAGTGTGTTTGTCAGTACACACTTTATTTTTTGGTGTTTATAAATAAAATCAGAATCATTTATGCAAGGTTTAGCATGGTTACCTCTCTTCAAATTTGTTCGACTCACACTCTCCAGTAAAGCAAATCGTTTTCAGGTGAGTCAACGAGAATGAAATTTCTCGCATATTTTCAATGTATGACTAACTAATTCACGTTATCTCTCTGAACATTTGTTAAACAAACAATATCTAAAAAGTTAAGTTAATCTTATTGATCAAAAATCTTATTTTTCGATCTTTCTCTTTACTTTCCCAAAGTAATACAAACGTTCTAAACTTTTAAAAAAAAAATAAGGGAATTCGTTCAAAAGACTCGTCTATGCCTTGCACGTTAATTTGATTTTCTCTTCAATCAAAAAAAGATATTACCAAAAATAGATTAAACAAATGTCCAAAAATGGAGAGTGCGTGATATTTACCAAGTAAAAAATTATTCATCACAACCGCCTTGGTTTTTTAGTTCTAATCATGTCATTTTAATTATTTATTGTTTATGCATCAAATATTTAATTTTGAAATTATTTTAAAAGTAAATACGAGTTATGCAGGGTTGTAGACAGGAAAAAAAATTAATTTCTCTTATTATGTTTTGAACTTTTTTTTTAAAAAATTAAATTAAAATGCAACCACATTGACTGAAATCAAACCTGTCAGGTATCAGTATACCAAGCCTATTTGGGTTTTCCCTCCTTTTAAAGTTTTTGCGACTCCATTTTTTTTTTTTTTTGTGTTTGGTCTTCTCTCCCTTTTTTAAGTAAATAAAGATTCTCATATCCTAGTCCATTTTTGGGTTTATCACATATTTTTGTTTGTGCAAAAAAATAAATTAGGGTGAAACCGATTTCAATAAGGAAAATGTAATTTCTTTGTAACATTGCTTTGTCAAAAAAAATTAAAAAATAAACATCGTGTACCCAATGTGGTTGATGTGGTGTGAAATTTTTAAAGACGATCATAAATAGAAGATCGTGGCGGTAAAAGCAACAACATTTACATGCATAAGGGGGGGAGGGGTTTTTTTAACCAATAAGTAGTCATTTAATCCATTGTTGCTAAGTATGGTCATTATTGAAACCGGATATATCATTTTAATTGATGATGTTATTTTGATCACGACAATGGTCGGTCGTTGTCTTCCATTGTCATAATAACGCTTGAATTAGATCTCTTAAAAAAATTGAAACGGTAGGAAACAAGGAAAAGGAAAAAATATCCTTTCATCAACAAAGAAATCTCTATTCATATCCGGCAAATCGTTGATTGAGCGAATGAATATGTACGATTTGGTATTTACAATGAATCTAAATTAATGTCAAAGGGGTCGACTCGCCATTCACATTTTGTTAATCAAAAAAAAAAATTACATTCTTAAAACTGATTCTTTTTTATTAATTAAACTTTAAATGTTTTGATTAAAAATAACCGAATATCTAAACATATTTCTAACATTTGGTCATTCATAAGATAGGTCATAATTATTGAACAAAAAAAAAAATAAATCGAACAAAGTCATATAATGTAATATGAACATTAAATTGAATTCATTGAATTCGTAAAAAGAGATATTAAAAAAAAAAAATAAGAATTATAATAATATTAATAATAAAATAGTATATTTGCCTAGGCTTTTTAATTAAAAATTGCAATAAGAAAATGGAAATAATAAAAAATGAATAAATGAATTTTTTTTTAAAATGCAAAAAAAAAAAAAAAAAAAAATGCTTGGAAAAGTGTGAAGAAACTAGTATTATTTTTTTTTTTCTTTTTTTTCTAATTTTTTTTTTTTTTTGTTGTTTTTTTGTTTTCTTTTGGGAGGATTAGTTAGAGCGGGGAGGATATGATAAGAAATATTATGATAAGAAAAAAAACCGTGGTGACTAAAAATAATATTTTTCTAACTACAATATACATATATCAAAAACAAATTTTTTTTTGATATTTTTTTTTCTTTTCTTCTATCTCTATCACCAAAAAAAAAAATAACTTTTCCCACCATTCGCTCTTTTTTTTTGTTTTCTATAAAAATTTCCCGCTCCGCGAGAAAGTCTATACCGAAAAAGGAAAGGATAATATGCTAAAATAATATATATGTACTGTATAATATGTATAATAAAAAAACAATAAAAATTTAAAAAATAAAAAACACAACTAATGCTGTACATGAATTTTTGATTGGTTTAAAAAATTTTACAAAGAAAAAAGAAGATTACAAGGAAAATAAAAAAAAAATGAAAATGTGAAAAAATGAAATTAAGATCATTCCTTCGCAAATCTCTTCCATCTTTTTCGCAATTTATCTCCGATAATGTATTACAAAAAATTTATCCTTATCAAAACAAAAGGTCCTTGTTCTAAATGTAGATCGCGATCAGGATTGGGCAAAAGAATTTACGAAAGGATTTTTTTTTTGTATATTACACGCCGCGTTCTCCAGATTCCGGGTTTTTGCTTGGAATTTGAAAATTGTCCCAATCTGGGAAACCGATACCTGCGGGCGACAATTTAAGATTGTCTAATTTATCTTCTTCTGACTTTTGAACCGATTCAACATCATAGAAAAAATCTATGGTTGAATCGCTCGACCGATCTTGTTGATTCGGTTTTAATAAAACCGGGTTTAACATAGTTGGGAATGTTGGAGAAGTAGGAGACATTGAGAACGAAGGTGAGATCGGACTCATGTTACTCCTCTTCGTTGAACCTACGCCTGACGAGTTCATATCATTCGAAGCAACATGACCAGTGTAATGTTGATAGATCCTTTTCAAAAGGACATATTGCGTGACTGCTATTAGAGGTTGTGCGCCTCCGATATGCCACATGGTCGACAAGAAAAGGCTCACACCATTGATTGAGTTTGTGATGGCGTCATGATATAATCCATAAATTCCCCACCAAGGACCCGATATCATCGGCAAAACGGCTATATACGTCATGGTATATTTTAAGGTATCAAGAGCGTTCCGTGTCGCATTACTATTCGACTGATAATATCCTCCTGAGCGTCTTGAAAACTGTTTCATCGAGTTTCTCAAGATGAGCATAAAATTTATGCCATAATATGCACCAATTATCGCGAACGATGAATTGAAGACGAAGTATGATGCATATTGGGCACACGTCCATTTCGCTGCCGCTTCTTTATTATCATTATCTTTTGCTATCCCCGATAATATAGCAAAAGGCAAAGCTGTACACGTCGGATATAAACACCACAGGGCAAGGATTATGTTCAACATATTGGGGGTGGGAATGTATATTTCACGCGACGTGAAATAGTTTAAAGGATCCCTTCTACTTTCTATCTTTATGGTCGCCGCCATACCTCTAGTATAATTTGCCGGGATGGTATATATTATACCTATATGGGATAAGGGAGAAGATAAAATTATGATTTATTAGCCAAAGTCTTTCCTTAATACTTGTTTAAGTTATCAACTCGTCAATCCTTTTTAACTCTTCATTTTCTAATTTTATCTATCTTAAGCTTTTCGCGTTTCGCTTTTCAATTTTTTTTTTTTTTTTTTTTTTTATGCAAATATGTATTTAATCTAAGTCATTCATTCCTTCAACAAAAAATAAAAATTTAAATAATAAACGAAACTTACCAACAAGATATAAAATGCCACCAAAACAAAACATGGTCCAACCAATCTCCTGCATAAACTCCTTTTGCCAATATCGAGTATAAACCTGGCAAAGCATAAACAGTCCGTGTAAACCTCTTAGGAAACAGGCAATGGTCCAAAAGAAAAGTAAATTATCCACTGGTAAAGGTCTTATACCGTTCCCTTGGTCTACAAATAGACCATGCCACATATACTTGTATCTGTAGCTGAAAATAACGCTTCCCGACAAAGAAAGTAACACGTACGTTACTACAGATACTATGACTTGAGCGACCCAAAGTTCGCTCATCTCACAGTCATATAACTCTATGCGCCAGTCGCAATGTTTTACGTTATTCATCGAGGCTTTTTGTGTTTTTTTTTTTTTTAAAAAAATTCGGGTTATGTGATGAGGGTTTTAAGGGTATGAAAGTAGATAAAAAAAAAATTTTATTATATATATTTTTTTTTTATCAATCTATGATATATTAAATTATTATATAGAAGGGATGTATTAAAATTAGGGAAAGTAAATATCAGCCCTGACTGCAGTAAAATGAATATTATATTAGCAATATTATCGATTCCATGAGAGGAAGTAGAATAAATTCGGTAATTTAAATTTTTTAAAAAAAAAACGGGAAATTGATAAAGCGGACGAGATATATATAATAAAAAATTAAACAAATTAGTTATTAGTATGACGTTTGATGCATAAAAAGAACTGATTTACATCGTTACATACCTCTTGGTTGTCAAGTCTTTAACAAAGACGGAGTTAGAATAAAGTAATAACAAAGGTCTTATGCTTTACCAAAATAATTGGTGTTAATTAGAACAAGACTTGATGGTTTTTTCTTCTCAAGTGGAAAAAATTTTTTAAAGAGAAAATATGGAGTAAATATACAGGACTGAAATTGTGAAATACAATTTAGTCTTTAATATATAAAATTCTAGGTAATACAAATATGTTTGCTGAACGGTTAATAAAATAAATAAATAAATAAAAAAAAAAACTTCAAATGACAAAACAAAACATAGGATGCTGAATAACCAGCTTAATTTTTTTTAAAAGAAAATTTTGTTGATTGGATGGGATCTATTGACAAAGAATGAATACGTAGCGGTTATGATTTGATTACACATGCACAAGAAGGGACAAAGGACTTAAAGATCACCAAGGGTGAGGAATAAACTTGGAAAGACGTAAAGGGATTAGGTTAATAGATGGAGCGAGAGCGAACGGTGAGATGAAACGGAATAAAGTTGAATGGATCTGAACTACTTCTTGTTCCTTCGAGGAAAGTATTTTCTGGCGGAAAGATTAGATATATATGTTTTTTTTTTTTTTAGATAATTTAAGAGCAAGCAATTTTTTTTATAGTTTAACATTACCCATTATCAAAAAAAAACAAAAAATTTTATGTCTTTTACCTTATTTGACTTTTTTGGAAAACAAAGAATGGAAAACATTTGGAATAAATTAAAAATAAATTACTTAACTTCATGGTGACAATTTTTTTTGAGATACCCTTATTTAGTTACATTGTTCAAATTTGGAAAACAGCTCTAAGATTTGGATTAATTTGGAATGTTACACAAATAAGGTTAATTAGTTGTAATGTTTTTACTGTTTTTTGACTTTTTGATGGTTGATGTGATACATGAAAATTAGATTTTGCGCAATACTGCACCAGATGAATGATAGAGTAGCATTTCTTATTTCTTCGTCAGACGATGTATTAATTTGTATTTGATCACACAGTTTACACCGCATCCCTCTCTTTTTATTAAGCGTGCTAATTAAATTATCGGGAATATCATAAATACCTTTGACAAGGTTTGGTACGTTGTCTAACTTGTTTTTTAGAAAGATAATTCCTTAAAGGGGAAGAAAAAACAAATTTTTTTTTTAATAAAACATATCATTACCAATCATTTATTTAAACTTTGTCTAGAATAATGGATTCTGCATGTACGCTTTAAATTTTTATTTTTATTTTATTTGTTTGCATTTTGTAAGACGTCTTTGTGGGGAAATTGTTGGATTACGTCAGTTGAAAATTATAAAGAAATTTTTAACCCTTCCTATTCCTTCAATAAGGATATAATTACAATTATTTCCATATCCTTGAGAGGTATTCCCTTTACGATAACTAATGACGTTTTAATATTGTGCCATTATTAAATAATAAAAAACTTTACATACTTTACATGTTGTTGTAAAGGATTCTATTCGTTTTATTCGTTTACAATTGTCTAAGTAATAATAGTCTCAGGATACAAATTCTTGACTTTCCGAATTATGCTAACGGACTTTTGGTTGTTTTTTGGAAGGCTGTTTTCCGTTTATAATCAATGATTTCAAATTATTCTCTAGAATTAGAAAGCAATCATTTTCACTTAATGACAATCCTGACATAATCTCCCAAATTGGCTAATTAAACATGCGTTACAAACAAATCAAAACAATTCTTCATTAAATTTGAACAAGTGGAGATATTTAAAGAATATTTATTACACCCAATAAGTATTAAGGGATCCTAACATAAAAATTTTCCGAATAAACAAAATTTAAACAGGGGATGAAGTACAATAAAAAACTTTATCAAGAATGTGTCACTTTTCATTACCATTTTTGTCTCATACATCTTTTTAATAATGTGTCCAATGATTTGGAATCCTCGTGATATCTGAATAAGTTCCCTTTCAAGGAAGACAGATACTATGTATCTTCAAAAAAAATAAATTCCACTTGATTGATTATCAATGGATCAACCTTTTTTAGGACACATTTAATTACTATTTTTTTTTTCTTTCGAGACCATGATCAATTAATTGGTTTAAAGAGATCCAAATGGCTTAAATTTGAAATAATTACGAGAGCAATTAATTGGTTTGAAATGGGTTAAACGTGTACGCCTTTTTTGTTTATTCCGCCTTTGCATTTCGTGCTATTTTTAAAATCATTCCCGATTCGACACGTTATTATTATTTAATTCCTCACCTTATTGTTAAAAAGTTCACCACAATTGATTTTGAAAATAATTAAAAATCACGTGTTCTCGGAACCTCGACAATAATTCGTTTGACCTTTGTCTTTGCCTAACTTCTTTCCTTTGAGATATTAAAAAAAATATCCTCAAGATAATCAATCGATTTTTACGATTTTTAATGGTCTTTGTCTACTTTATCTTTTTCTTTTGCTTTTATAAATACAAATAAAAAGTTTGATTCTGATAGGTGAACTCTAATAATTATGTTATTGTAAAAAAAACCCAAGTGGTCTAATGTGGACTTAATATTGTCGTGGAAATCATGTCATCCTTGGTTCGTAAATGTTCAACCGCATTTTGATTGGATGAAATGATTATTGGTCGCAGAAATTCGAAAAATTTTCGGGTAAATTATATGTTGAACATAATTATGTACTACTTAATTGCAACGTTTAATTAGTTCTCGCCGTTCTAAAAAAAAAAAAAAGGTTTTTTCTTTAATTATGGTCCTGCATACCGGCAATAACCCTTGTCTTTTAAAGATATAAATACGATAAATCATTTCTTTATTTAAAATTCTTTAACTAGTAATAATCATAATAATAATTAATAATAATAAATCTCTTTGTCACAGCATCATTAGGGTGCGTTCGAATAGCGTTATGTTTTCCCGTCTTCCTGCTCTAATTTACATTATATGAGGCATGCACAGCTTTAATTATTTTAATGGGATGATCAAAGGGTGTGAAAGATTTAAAGGTGGCGAACGAATTATTCCTTAAAAATAAGTCACACTGAATATTTTAAAATGAAATGAACCTTATCATTCGGTTATATAATCGATTATTATATCATTTATATCAATGATTTGACATAGAAATTCAAAAAGAAAAAAAAAATCTACTTGTCTACCGAATTAATTAATTTGCTTTTTTTTCCTTTTTTTTTTAAAAAAAAAAAAAAAGATTTTTTGCTGAATGCCACCAAGTGGACTAGTGGTTCATCTAAAAATCTACGCAGGCACGTTTCGCTTAAAAATAAAAAATTCCTCTTGTTTACCATAATTTGTTCTTTTCTCCGATTACAGAATAAAAGTATAACGCGATTTATTCAAGTCAAAAAAAAACAAAAAAATAAAATAAAATAAAAATATTAAATTAAATAAATAAAAAAAAGACAAGATTTACAGATTTACCGGAAGTCACTTTTCCGTGATAAGAGGATAATTTGAAATTGATTTGATCATAATAAAAGGAATATGTTTAGAAAATGTTTCTAAACATTTTCATTAAACAAAGGGGAAAAAAAAAAAAAAAAAAAAAAAAATTCCACAAAATAATTATTAACTATATTAGGTATTTCAAGGTTGGACAAAGTTTCAAACTTAAATTTTTTTTGCCCATTATATTCTTTTCGTCTGGTGGCTTTGCAAGGTCTAGTTCGCCCATTATTCATTGTAAACTTTAATTGGCAGCACAGATGGCGGCTCACCCCTGTATTATTTGACGTAATAAGTACCGCAGCGGCCGAATTTATATGGATGAACGCCTCACTCTGTTTCATATTTTTTAGCCTATCTATTTAATTAACCTTAATAAGACATGCCCAAAAAAGGTGAAACCCATGTTTAAAAAAGTGATGGTGGGATAATGAAATGATCCGCAAATTAGGGAACAAATCGAGATTTCAAGATGATTCTTTAGGTTATTCTTTTTATTAAACTAAATCAAGTATTCAAAAGGACTAGCCTTGAAAATTTTCTGTTAAATTGAGTTTTTTTCTTCTATGAAGATTTATAGTCTTTTACCGACTCGCAAAAAAGTAAATTCTAAATCGCGTTCCAATTTTATTTTTTTATTTTTTATTCCTATTTTTGTTTTTTAATAGATCACGGAATTAATTATTCAACTTTTGGTAATTCGTAATAAACTTTCATTCTCATGATCTAGATGCTTTACAAATCCTTGTATACATTGAATTCCTTTTCTAATGATTCGAACGCGATAATAATTTGCGTTTACTGTACATGTTTCTATAAATAAAAAAAGGCTTTTTTTATGTATTCTTGCATCAATAAATTGGTTACGAACTTACCCTTCAGAATATCCTTTTGGTTATTTCTAATCTTGGAGAACAAGATAAAATAATAATAATAATATAATAATAAATAAATAAAATAAATGAAATAAAATAAAATATACGTTCAGACGTTTGGACTTATCTTTGGCGTTTTTATCTTACAAAGTGAAATGTGTGTTCTCCCTAAAAAGATACATAAATATACATATACCATTACTATTATTATTATCAACGAATGAAAAAAGGTAACATGAAATCGTATTGAATGCAAAGATCATACGGTATCTAAATGATATCGCGTTTGTGTAAAGATGTGAATGTTTACGTTGTGAACATCCTTTAACAAAGAAAATTTTTTTTAAAAAAAGGGGATTTCGGTTATCTCTTTACGCGTATATTTTAAATTTATCATGATGATACTACATGGTAGCGTGTTAACGGTTCGTTTCACAAATAATTAAATGAAGATTTTATTATCACAATATGTTTATTTTCTTTTATAAACAAAAAAACATATACGTTCATTCTTGCGGTTTCACTTTTTATTCCATTACATACACCATTCGTTATACATAATGTCACGTGATGACAGTGTCACATCAAAACGAGATAACGGATGAAGCTCCAAAATTTGTTTTAAACGGCGTGTTGCCTCATCACTATCATTAGATCAAACAGATCAAACAGATGAATAGCACCTAATCTGGGTGAGTTTATAATAGGTCCTCATTATCAAAGCTACGACTATTGAAAGGCTTGGTAGAGGTGTGTTCTTCACGTAATCAAGCATTAAGGAATTATGATGTGCTTCATACAGCGTAAATAAATTGGAGTGGGTGACTTAAAAAAATCAAGAAGCTTCACTTCGGTTAAACAAAAATCTTTGGCGCAAGCGCTTAAGAATAAATTCGGTGTTAAATCAAGATTGTGATTTTTTTTATTTTAGATGATTATCTAAAAGTTCGAGATGAAAGACGCATGGATCATGGCGCAACGGTGTCATACACTATTTCGAATCAACATAAAACCTACGTTCGTTGTAATTCCTAAACCAATGATCTTTCTTCTGTCTACAAGAGGACTTCAAACCATTTATCAGACATTCATTCTTATAATAAAAAACTTTTGATGCTCACAAGAAATCATTTAAATATGATAATTTGCTTTAAATAAAAATTATTATTATTATTATTATAAAGATCAGTAACGATTTATAATAATTACTTATTTACAATCTTCATAATTATAAATAAATAATCCAAATTTTCTTTTTATTATTATTTATTCTCTCATGTACTAATTGTGTTAAGAAATATTCTGACGAAGAGTCTTGGCGAGTTTACGAGATTTCTTCAATTCATCACGATAAGTTACCAAATTGATTAAACCAAATCTACGTGATCTTGGGTCAGTCGGCGCTCTTGGTAATTTATCTTCTGGATTAAACACAATCCCAACAAATCTCTTCTTTGGTTTTTTTGGATCCGAATAAAATTGTACATAACCCGGTTCTAACGCTTGTACCGTAAAGTCTTTTCCTAATTTGACCTATATGTCGAATTATTAAATTAATTAATATGGATGTGACATATATATATTCATTTAATTACACATATATATTTCTATATATTTTTTTTTTTAATATGTACATGTTCACCAGGGTGAAATCTCGTGCCCCTTTGTCGAACTATAATATTTCCTGCTTTGACGTATTCGCCTATTAATAAAGAAGTTCAAGTTAATTTCAATAAATCAAATTAAAAACATTAAAAACATTAAAAAAAAAATTTGAAATAAGATGAAAATTTATTTTATTTACCACCAGTTTTCTTCACTCCTAACCTTTTACCAGCCGAGTCACGTCCATTATGTGATGAACCTCCGGCTTTCTTTGAAGCCCATCGTTGTTGAATCGTATTAACCTCTGATAACCAAATTATTTTTTATCACCCAATGAATAAAGATATATAAAAAAAAAAAAAAAAGATATATATATATATCTCTCCTTCACTCAACCTATTTGAGGTTTTTGGTCCAATAAAGACCTATAGTTGCATTCTATCAATGGTAGTAATCGTCTTTTAAAAAGATATGTAAAAGACATTTTTTAATTGAAATCGATTTCTCTCATGTGGTATTTTCTGTCATGCATAATACCAAATATAGTTAGGTCGCATGTGACGAATCCTGTTATTCAATATAAATACCGTAAAGTCCCGAAAACAAGCACCCTCTGATAACAGGAGGAACCGTCCATTGTTACACAGATTTTCATATTTGCCGAAAATTTCCGATTTTGATTATCCAATCAAAA